TGGAATAATTTTTTTACTCGTTAAAAATGGCTGATTTTAGCAATATTTACGAAACAACGTAAATTTCTTTATTAAAAAATTTTCCCAAAATAAGATATACTTTTCTGAAACGTCATTTGTGAAAAATATTTGAGGAAGATGTAAAGTTTAATTGATCCAATTTGAAACAAATATTACATTTAGTTTTAATATCGCAGAAAAGCATTTTTAACACGTAGCTGGATGTTTTTATGAGTCAACTTTCTCGGTTTTTTTAACTACCAAGTAATCTAATATTTTATTAAATTTTATGTACTTTGGCTTTATAGTCTTACGACGACTCTTCTTGAGGAAATGTTAGAAAATTACTAATAATTTTAAGTTTATTATAGTTAGCGCTCTTATTTTCTGATAATGTTGTGTATCGACGTCCGCATTTACAAAAAAAATCGTTATGTTTAAAGAAACACACACAAACAAATTCAAAATTCTTTTTAAAATACTAGGAATCGCTGAATTGTAGTAAGTTTTTCTATTTATGATTAGTAAATGCAGTTTTTACTTAGTAATAATATCATCCCACTGCTACAAATACAGAAATTTAAAAGATTTTAAACTTTATTAAAATTTAAGAAAATGAAAACAATTCTTGTAAAAATTATTATTCATCGAAAAAATGTTTTTCTTAAAGAAATATTCACAATAGAAAAGCTTTTAATTGCTTTTATGAAAGCAATTAAAAGCTTTTCTAGTTAAATAATGTCTTAGTTTTATGGCATTTTGTATTTACGATTCAGAACAGATTTCCTTAACTGTGGGTACTGTTTTACTAAAGAAAATTGGTGATTTAAATTCTCCAAGGACTCGTGCTTATAACTAATATAAACATTTAGCCCTTCAAAAATGAATTTCTTGACATTTCATAAAATTAAGTGGAAGTTAACAGATGTACAAAAATATTTTACCAACATTTTCTAAAGAAAAGTTTCTGAAATAGCTTAATTTATTTGTAAAAAAATCATGAAAGTTTCATTAAAACCCGTCAATTATCCACGTGTTTTTCACCGCAAAACGATGTTAAAATTCCTCGTTCTAATTTATAGCCACCTTTTGACACAAGAAAAACAAAATTTTTAATTAAAATTATGGAGGTTCTAAAAAGGTTAAAATATATTTTAATAAGCAAAAATTCTTTTGAGGACTTTTTGATTAGTAAATTATATGAAAAAACATAAGACTATAAAGCCATATTACATAAAACTCAATAAAATATTAGATTACTTAGAATATCTTCGTAAATTTTAAAGATTACTGGGTAGTTAAAGACTCATATAAAAAGGGCGCTCACGTTATATTCATCAAGTATTTTTTACAGATATGTCCCCCGGAGAAAAAAATTCCAATTTTATTGAGATAATTGTCAACACTTCATAAAAACATTCAACACCATGTTAAAATGTTTTTTTTTTGCGATATTTTAAACTTAAAGTAAGCAATATTTGCTTCAAATCAGATTAATTAAAATTTACATCATCTAACCTTTCTAAAATAAAGTTTCATAAAAGTAGATTTTTGAAAGAATTTTATTAAAGAGAATTACGTTGTACTGCCAGATTAGGAAATATCGCTAAAATCTGCCATTTTATATATTAACTAAAATATAATATCGCTATAGTAAGTTAATGTCTCACTAAATCTTGTTAGCGAAGTGATTTCGCCATTAATCACATTAACGTCGCTATTTATTTATTTCTTTAAAGTGCTTCTTTTATATATATATATATATATATATATATATATATTGTGTATATGTGTGTGATTGCATGTTTCTGTATGTGGTTGTGTATTTATAATCAATATCTATCAATATGTAATGTTATAAAGTTAAAGAAACTTAAAAGTGTCTAAAGCAAATGTGTGCCCAAATTAATGCCTGTCTTGTTGGTAGATAATTTGGGGCACCCGTAGCGTTGTATCGGTCGTTTGGTGGCAGATGGTCGAAGCAGATGTCATCGATCACAGAGGTTGTTCATGTGTGCTAAGAACATACATAACGTTGGATCTTGGGAATTACAAGCTAAACCTGTCCTGGTGTCATTTGACACAAAACCGGAATGAATGAATACAGAAATAGATAAATAAACGTTGAGTTTAGATTGTTAAAATCAAAGAATTGGGAAAAGAGGTCGAGACATATGTCAGTTCTTTTCTTTTTAGAAAACAACTTGATGTCTTTTTTTTTAATAATGATGATAACGACGTTGATCTCTTTGTGTCTCATGTAGAAAGAAAAAGGAATACAAAGCATTAAAGGGAGAGTTATGTTGAAGAAGGAGAGAACAGAGGCACAATCTTCAGATTTGTTGCAGTATATATTTGAATTTTATATAGCCATTTTATATAGCCATTTTATATAGTCAGAAGATTTTACTACAGGATCATCTGTTTACGAATTTAGAACGACTCTATGAAAATAAAATGAAAACTTTTCTTTCCAATGATTCTCTATTTTTATACTGATATTTGTAACACGGTCAATAGAAAAATCAACACAAACTTGGCTATGGCTAAATTCTGATTGCAATTATTAAGACTAAGTAATTTTCCACAGAATTAAATGCAATTTGTGTAGTAGACGTAAACCGAATGGGGTAGCCTGCTGGCTTTTGTCGCTAACCTTTCTGAGTACTGTCAAATACGAGGTAATGCCCAAGAGTCTTCATTTGAAGTGTTAGTGTAAGTTTGTATTTTTTATGGACAATTTGTTTTAACTATTTGAAGGATCTATTTTTTCAGTATAAAGCAATTAAAAGGTTATTGAATTTCTTTTTTTATTGTACTGAAATATTAAATTTGGTAAATAATGGCAAAAGAGTGAATAATATTTGAAATAAACTTACTCTATTTTAGATAAGCGGCGTATAATTTAGAAACTACGACAGAAATCCTTTAGAATGTCCATCGTAGTTCCTAAATTATACACATTTTGAATAATTTTAATGACTTTGAAGTTAAATTTTAATTTTATTTGAATGATAATAATATAAAGATATAAAAATAAATTTCCGTATGTACATAAATTTTTAGTCATATTAAAACATTGGCATATTTACTTGTCTCTCAACGATTCATCTAACCGCCATGATAGATGAAAACCGTAAACCACAAACTTAAAAATCACTTAAAAATCCAATATTTGTCCTAGTGATGTGTTTGAAAGTTAATTAGAAAAAATAATGATTAATTGAATTTTGTAAAAGTAATGCTTAATTTTTACTTAAAACATGATGAAAATAATGTTTATTTGTGCACAGTGCCATGTGATGTCATAGGTTAACAAAAGTATTTTTTTTTATTTTGCTCCTTGAAAACAGTGCGAAAAATTTAAAATAAAATTAAAATGAAATACGGAACGCTATCAGTAATCCAGTGAGCAGTACTGAAAATAAGAACTAGACGAAATTTCCCTAGACATGGACAGTGGAATGAGAACAGTCTATCTTGTCGTTTAAATAATGAATTCAGTTCAGAATTCGTTGTAGGTTACCCGGATCTATATACACCGGATGAAGATCAGAGGACACAACAGCCGTTACAGTAACAACAACGATAAGGACAATAATTCGAATATAAATAGTGTAACTTTTGTTAGGAAAAGGAAAGGGATTAATTTCAAAATCGCCTAGAAAAATTACAAGTAATTTAAAAAAATAAATATTAATTAAGCCTGAACATTTTTCTGTCAAATTTGAAAGAAATAACATGCAAATACCAACTCTCAAAAAAATTATTTTTTGAGTTGTATTGAATTATTTTTTGGGAATGTTCGAGACGAATTTTCTGTATGTTCACACTAGATGTTGCATTCTTATTTTACTGAAATAACACCTTTAGGGATTTTTCTTTATATAATTGTAAAAGAAATTCGTCAATATCCACTCAAATTAGTACACAGGAGATATCGATTTCCTTTAAATTGGATAATGCCCCGATTTTTGGCAAATTAGATTTTTTTTGCTTTCATTCCGGGGAAAACGCATCCATTTTTGTGGTAGCTAGTATAATCTAATTCAAAAAAATAAAGAGGAGTTTAATTCCTTTGTTATAAAAATGTGTAAAAAGTGCCAGAAAACATTACTGTCTCTCATTTATGACAGAAGGAAAATTGTAAGTTTATTAGATAATAATAATTCGTTTTCATGGCTTAATTTTTTACCCATTTTTCAAATCGCGAATTTCGGAAATATGCAGGGTTTCTTATTATCCAACAGCGACACTGCACAAAAGAATAATCCAAGACAAGAATATAATAGATAAAAATAAATAACATTTCAAAATTTTATGCACCACATGTCTTTGAAAAAAATTTCCAGTAATAATCTGATGATCATGTAATGAAAGACGTGTTTCTATGATCCACCAAATCATGACAGAAATAGACATTTTGATGATTCAGTGTAGAATCTGAATAAGTCGCCAGTTGATTGGGGCGGTGCGCAATTGCTGTTGAAATATTTAAATCTGTGCAGTCGAGTGCACGATTAACGAGCCCCGAAAGATGTTTGGTTGCAAAAAGAGCATTAGCTTCCCACTTTGCCTAATGTCCGCTACAATAAATGAATAAACAAATAAATAAAACAATAAATTAATTAATATCGTTGTCTTATTTATTTACGAACAATTTTTGAAACGATATATATCTTAAAATCATTTTACCCCAAGCAAAGAAAGCGGCAACGCCACTAATACGCAGTGAGTTACAGGGAGTGAAAGTAAGAAAAAAGACTGACCATTGGGAAGATTGAGGAAAGAGGAACAGGATTCAAGAAGATAGAAGATGACGATTGACATTGCATTTAAATTTTTGAAGATTAGTTATCAGGGAAGCAAGTAAACGGAAAAAAGAAACTGTTGGATTAGAAGTATCTGTTGCTATTTCAACAGTAAACGAGTGGGACCTAGATGCCAATCTAGTGGCACACTTAAATTCATGCAGTCGAGGCACCAGGGAAAAAAGTTCGTTAGTGAGAGAGAGAGAGAGAGAGAAGGAGAGAGAGAGAGAAGGAGAGAGAGAGAGAGAGAGGGAGAGAGAGAGAGAGAAGGAGAAATTTTTTATTTTTTTTTACTTCCCTTTTTATCATTAATATTTTTCCTTTTTCTTCTCTCTCTTTCTTTTCCCTTTCTACTTTTTATCTCGGTGTATCTGGATGGATTGATTCCATTTCTTAAACTTTCGGTCAGAAGGGATGAATATTAACAATATTCATGAAATAAATTATAATCGATATGTATTTTTAAGGTATTTTCTTAATTTATCATTATATATATATATATTCCGTGACTACTTTCCATAGGCTGTAGAAATTAGAGTTTGTGTGTGTATGCGTGAGAGAGAGAGAGAGAGAGAGAGAGAGAGAGAGAGAGAGAGAGAGAGTGTGTGTGTGTGTGTGTGTGTGTGTGTGTGTGTGTGTGTGTGTGTGTGTGTGTGACCAGACAGAATTCTCCATTACCCATTTTTGGTTTTTAACGTTTGAACACTTACGGTTGATTTTAAAAACAATTTTCAAGTATTCGAATCTAAATTTATTTTCATTCAATTTTCATTCACTGTTGGCTGAAACACAATGTGTTATGTAACGTAAGTAATGCATTATTTAACGTTAGTAAATAAATAAATAAAATAATAAAATTGTTCGGTTTATTAAATAAAAATAAGACAATTTAAAAATTTTTTTAACACTAACTTTATTAAACAACATTTTTGCCCAGTATCTTTTATCTGCTTTCAGTCTTCATAATGCCATCCACCTTTTCAGAACAAAGAAATGCTCTCAGTGCGTTTTGCAGACTTTCAGGAATATTTTTTTTTTATAAGAGAAAATTCTGTGTATACCGGAATAAGCGATGGTCCGAAAGTACAATATCCTGTGATTATGGCCAGTCTGTGAAAAATGTTCAGCCAAGTTGTAATATGTCAGATTCGCAAATGGTGTAATGTTTTGAGACTTGGGGCCAAGTTCGAATTCAGGTCATCATTCATTTTCACACAAATATCCTTGGGAAAGGTATGAATCAATTTTTTCTCCCTCCAGTTTTGTATTAAATAACACCGCAGACTGGACTCTCTTAACTGTAGTTGTCAACCAGTCTAGGAGAAGGACAACTTTGAATTCAAAACCGCATGTGTCCTTCGTGGGGGCATATACTTGAATTGTAACTAAGGTTTTCCTAGCGTATTTACAGTGTAAACCGTATGTTGGTTCTGTGGGTGCTGAAGATACGCAAACAGGCCTGAGAAGCGGGGGCATGTTCGGGAACGAGCAGCCATGCTAAAAGTGACAAAATCATACGGATTTACAGTGTGCCTTCAAATCGAAACAGCTCTGATGATGTAACATATTATCTTTGTTATGAAAGAAACACGAGACCTAGTGTCATCTCGATAGAATATTAAACGCCTTTTCCGTAAAATATTGAAAATGTTGATTTTTTCTTTCATATTCAGTGTTAGAATCAATAAACAATCAATTACGTTAATTCTGTCAATTAAAAAAAATTCGATGAACGCCGACGACAGCTGTTACTGCTGAATCAAAAGCAATGTTTATTTTTTTTAATGGAAAAACAAAGCGCTTCTAATTCAATTTAACGACAAACAGAACAAACTTTTTGGACACTCCAATTTATAATTTTAATTCTGATAGCAAAGAATAATATCTAAACCATATAAATTTCTATTGTTCAAATACCAGCCTCTTATCTCTTTCGAAGTTGAAGAAATGAAAGACGTCATTGTGTCATAAGTATTCATTTTGAAAGTAATGTGTGTGTGTGTGTTCTGCGCCTGTGTTAATTATCACATATAAGAAATGCAAGAAGCGGTGATTTTTTACTTCGTTAATAATATTACTGAATGGTACCATAATTTTTTCTTTTAATTTTCATTTCTATTTAATACGCAAGTGAATACCGTGATCTCTTTTTAGAGTATAAACGTTTCCATACGGATCTTATGGTAAGACTAAAATAAACAATGATAAGTGAGAGAGAGCGAGAGAGAGAGAGAGAAAGAAAGAGAGAGAGAGAGAGAAAACAGACACAGAGTGAGGGTGACAGACAAATATAGAATGAGCGAGACAGACTGACAGAGGCCACAGAGTGAAAAAAAGGAGAGAGAGAGAGAGAGAGAGAGAGAGGGAGAGAGAGAGAGAGAGTAACTAAATTGAGAGAAATACGTGTACATTTCTTATCGTACTACAAATAAAAAAAAAGTAAAAACAAAAAAGCCACATTTATCGCCCGTTCGTAACCTAGAGATTTTAGATGGATTCGTTTTGTCGTTTCTACACTTGCTTTGCTTATTTGTTTTTTTTTAAAATACTTGTGTTGTCTGATTTTTCAAAGGAAATTTATCATGAAAACTTTTAGGGACGACGTGTGTTTATTTAAAATGAAAAAAAATCTGTGTCGCAGTTTGACAATTTATCGTCTTTCATGAACATTTTCTGACACTCTCACATTCTAAGTGTTCCATACCCTTAGCATTGGAATCTTCGTTTTTATTCAGAATTTTAAAATCATATTCCTAGAATAATATATAATGACAATTTAAAATATTTTATATAGTTGGATGACTGAGGTTGCGCCGTAGCATACTGTTTCATTCTTAATTCGGGTTTTTCTGGCAGAATCGATTAGAAGGGAGTTGATATTCCAATGTGTCTTTTTTTTTGTGTGAAAAACACCGGAGTCACAGTTTATTTGTATAACACAAAGCTACACAAATTTGTTACTGGAAAAGACCTTTTTTAAAATAAATGGAGTACGCTGATTTCCAATCTATATACGGAAGTTTTCAAACAAGTATGAATTTTGCTTTAGAATGCCGTATGTCTCTTAAAATGAACTTTTTGTATTCTAATCTCAGTGGCGAGGATTATCCTTCTTCGAGCCTTGTAGACTAGTGTTACAGAATTGGTTTTCTGAACATTTCAATCTTGACTTCAAATCAAGGCTTAGTAGTCATAGACCTCTTATTTTTTTCATTTCTTGCTACCTACTCTTCCATTAATATACAGACTGTTGTGGAAACTTTAAAAAAATTCCATCTGAAATTTTTCAACCGACTACAAAAAAGCACTACAAAAATAAAAACAGACAGTCAAACATTAACGCGGTAATGTTATTAAACAAAATCACTAAGGTTATTAAATTGAGCAAAGATAAAACAGCAGTATTAGTCATCCCGATATAAATTCGAGATTGAATTTTAATTAGTTGCCTTATCCCGAAGTTTAAATATATGCAGATTAAACAAGGGAAGAGTGAATTCTGTTAACCAGAAAGTTATTTATGGTAATATTTTAATACTAAATTTCTCCCAATACAAGAATCGAGAGGGTTACAGTCGAAATGTTAATACTGAATGAGGTATGAGATATGCATGCTATGTGTCTATCATCCAGGACGAAATCAAACTATAATTCTTTTTTAGTTATTGATTCAAAGAGGTAATGATGGGAATCAAATAACTTATATGATTCCAAAGCATCAGTCCATTAACTCGTCTACATCAAAGTTGTTCTTTAAATAGACATGCAACGATCTCAGTGCTAGTATGCTGTTACCTGCAATCAAATTAAAAAGAGAAAGTACCTTCTCCTACACATTGAAGCACATCAAAGCTGAAGTCGTGAATGGAACATTTGATACCAGACGCAAAAAAATTAACAAATATTTTCCGGCGTCACGACCGTTGCTCTTTCACCTACATGTTTGCCAAGAATTTGAAACTTTAAGTTGGTGGGTTTGTGCAAACAGAGTTGGACTGGAACTAAAATACCAATCTTGTCATCAATCAAACTTGAAACATCGGATTGATTAATCATAGTGAACCAGGCAGCTAGCTAATTACTCATAATGCTAACCAAGAGAATTGAACCGAAAGGATATTTGAAAAATAACTATAGATAAATTGTTTATAAATTTGAAAAGAGTCAGTAATATTCAAATATCTTCAAATGAATTTAGCCTTTGTATATTTGATATTGATAACACGGTGTTTCGGTTCTTCATAATTGAAACAGACTGATCCGGGTTATAAAAATGTTTTTTTTTTCACCTTTTTTATTGATTACATGAGTGATGAAGGTTGAAGAATAGCTCGGCCGAAATGCTATGTTAAGAAAATGTTCAATTATTCAATCTCGGTATGGAAGTCGATATAAAATGCATCAATAGCCATGGGAGGAAAAAGATACATAAACAAAACGTAAATGCTACAAAAAACATCAGACACATTATAACAAAGATTACTCTTTATAATAATGCGAAGACAACCCTTCGGTACCATTCTGTCCCAGAAATTATAGAAGAGAGGGAGGGAGAGAGAGAGAGAGAGAGAGAGAGAGAGAGAGAGGGAGAGAGAGTTAGTTTCTATCAAGAACCGCAAGTGAAAAGACCATGGAATATTCGGGTATGAAGATTATTATGAAAATCATAAAACTGAAAAAAATACTCAAAGAAATGTAAGAGTTCCAAAAGAAGCATTCTCCTGAAAGCAAAAATGACCCTCAACTTAACAGGCAACAAATGACCAATGTTCAAAACACGAAGTTCTAGAATGGAATGCTAGGAACAGTGTTGCATACAATAGCACACCTGTATGAAATGAGTAAGAAGAATTTGGGCCCAGACAACTGGTTCGTGCTTACAGTTGGTGATGTTGCACAAGCCATAAAAAATACTTACGTTATAAATTGTCAGATAAGGTCGAAAACTTTTACCTGAAACAACTTGGTGTGTTACATAAACTGTCAGTGATCCGTATGGTATATTTCCATGTCACATAACGATGACCGCTTATCTTCTTTCAAAAACCAGGAATATGAGACACTAAAGCCTACTATGCTAACCTAAACAGTTAACAGTGTCTATGAACATCTTATGAATAACATTGTTTTCCTATTTGAGCCGAAAGAAGATAGAAGAGAATCCAGAAGACAAAAGGACAATTTTCTTAGCAAAATAATCATGGCAGTATGGGAAACATTTCTGAGATTATTTCAAACAAGGAAGTTCCTTGTCAAGAAGGAGATTCAACACTTGAGGCTGTTCCAAATCATCTGCAGATTTGGGAAAAAATGAACTCATTAAATTAGTGAAACCACCATACACTAACGCAACAAATACGCCCGGATGGACAGAGACATTGAGATTGGGCATGATCATGATGCTGGAAAAATTCACTATACAAGAGGAAGAAAAACAAGTCTAAACTTTCTTTGAAATCTGCCTGAAAGAAAACATTTTAATGCACAAAGAATCAAATAAAATAGGAAATCATTTCACGAATACTTCTTGAATCAATCTGATCAGTCTCATATCGATGAAAAGCATTGTGTTCAGTGTTTCAAGACATGGCTTTTAAAGGGGAAAAGAAAGAGTTACTGATTAGAGCACAGAGCAGTAAGCACAAGAGATTTATAGGATATAACTTATATCTTCTGTGCAATTTGTTTTATATTATATTTAAGAATAACCAAATACTGCCCTTTATCGCTGATACTCTTTACTCTCACTAGTTCTCCTGGCCTAGATGCAACGAAACATCCCCAAAGCATGAACGCTCCCGCTACCATGCTTAATTATAGGTAAACTATTTTGGGGGGGTTGTGAGCTTCCTTCGATTTCTACGATTCATATTGGAAACTCATGTGATCAAATAATTCTAGTTTGGTCTCATCTGATTATAAAACAGACTTCCAATATCCACACCTATGTTCTACATGGTTATCGCATAAGCTAATTTGTTTTTTAAGTGTTCAGCCTTAAGCATGGCAGATTTTCTTGAACGACAAGCTCAAATTCCTGCTCGATGAAGGCATCTAGTGACTGTCTTTTTCGATACCTTTAACACTTCTGGATGTATATAATTCACAATGTCCTTTGCCATTAAGTGAGAATTTTTCGAGACGTCTCTGACAAATTTTTCAGTTCAGTAGTCCTATTCATGGTTGTAGAACGAATGAGTTATTGCGGTAGGTGTTAATAACATATTCTCTTCATCAATATTAGTTTATTTTTTCAGTGTGCTTTCAAGGAAGAAAAAACATTGCAATTGCAATAGGAGAATATTATTTTCAATTTAAATATGTCGTAGGGTGAATAATATTGGACTGCACCAATTTTTAGAAAAATCTATAAATATGAATATAATAGATAGAAACTTCTAAAAAAATCATGAGTTTTAAAAATAATACAGAATAAACTATCTATGGAGAACATTATTATAGTGGATAAAAAAATAAATTTCTAAAGAATTTATGGATTTTATTTTTAATCTGACATTTTTATTCACACACACACACACATATATATCAAACATGTCTTGTTAAACAATATGGATAAATTCTGTCTATCAATTTTTTTATTAAATCTTTCAAATTTCCGTTGTTTTGGGTTATCGGTAAATTTGACAAAATTTATAATAATTTTCATTTTATATTATTTTCTCCCGAGTACTTTCGAATGTTGCTCCATTTGTTTACAAGGATTGTTCTCTGTGTAGTTACGCAACTAGTCTTTAATTGGAATCAATTTCAAGTCACTCGAGGTGACGTCATATAAACGGTCAAACTGAAATTTGTGTGCGTGTAAGTGTTTTATATTAAACACATTTCAATATGCAGTCCGTTATGGGAAAAATACCTTATTTAATATTGGCTGCTGCTCTTTTTTTACAACTGCCTCTAAAATTTGAAGTCTTTCTTTCTACTGTGTCCTGTATAAAATGTTGGTATTATCAACTTAAATTTGTTTTTTATAACACCTATTTTATATCTTATTATTTTATTATAATTAAGCACACATGAATTTTTACGAGAGTTTTTTTTTATATATTGAAGTGATAAAATCATCATTTTTAGAATCTGCTTGAACATTCAGGAAAGGGATTTTATTTTTTAATGTTGTGTTCATAAGTGAATTGTAGAACTGAGTTACTTTCAAATGTTCCTTTAAGGGTTTTCGATTCATCTTGGTTTTCAGTTAATATGAAAATGTCGTCAATATATCTGCCATATATTGAGGGTTTGTTAAAATTATTAAAGACCTTTGTGGGTTAACCCATTTACTTCACTAAAAACTGTCGCGAGGGTGGGGGCGCTCCTTAAGCCTATAAATAGAAAATGACATTCTCTGTCATCCTCTTTCCTTTTTCTCTTGGATAACAAGATGTAGTCGCAACGTGGTAAAATTATGTCCCCCACCGGGAACACATGCTCATTTCACTTTCTTCAATGTAAGACTTTTCACTTGGACTCCTACACACATTTCACACACAAAAATACATTCTCTAGTTTAAATGTTTTTTCTTTCATAATCATTGTTTTATTAGCCGCAACAATCTTTTATTGTCTATGTATACTTTTATACATACATTGTCGTATATTTGTATATAGTTTTCTTGTTAGTTTATTCTTTTATTACCCGGACTCACATTTGAGTCCGCAATAATTGTTGTGGGAAAAATATACCAGGTGACACATGTTTTCTACCTAAACAAAACCATAATTCCCGCAACACCTTGTTTCTACATCATTCATGTAGAAATTAGATAAAGTAGGACTCATCGCTACACCGTCATTCTGTTTGTAAATGTTACCATAGCGATTGTAAAATTGTACTTGTGTGCTGCAAGACAGTTGGACTTTACGTAAAATATTTGGTCTGATATTAGGAGGTGTGAGCTTAGATTGATTATATAAATTTTGTAGAACTATTTCTATGATTTATTTAACAGGAACATTAGTAAACAAATTTTCAGCATCTAACGATGTTAGGATACCATTGTTAGGTTTATTGGCATGCAATAAGTCGTTGGTCGAATTAAAACTATATTTATTAGATAAGTATGAGTGGAATCAGTTTATTTAGAGTTTTAAATAATTTATATACGATAGTAGGAATTTGAGAGATTATGGGACGCAGCGGCGTGTTTGGTTTATGGATTTTAACATTTCTGTATAAATAGCCAGGATGACACTCACCCACAGTTTTGTTGAGTTACATTGATCCTACTTCGGCGTTATTAATTTTTGTTTATTTGTGTCTTAAGAAGGTCTCAATAGTATTTTTCTTTAATTTCTCGAATTTGTCTGTATTATTTAGGATAGAATCAAGTTTTTGTTATAGCCAGTCCTATTTAAAATAACAAAAATATTAGACTTATCACTCTTCCTAATTATAAAATAATTGTTTCCTTTAAGTTCTTTATAAGGTTTGTTTAAAAGTTGGCTCCTTATTATATGACTATTCTGATTTTTTATGCTTTCTTCTTTGAGCAACATTTTTAATCCAGACTGAGTTTTGATGAGTCTTTGTCTTCTAAGAATTCTAAGATTCGTTTGTGCAATATTTTAATGTCTGCTTTTTTTTTTTTATATTATCATCAAATCTGGAGTAAAAATGGCAGTTTCGTCCCGAGGTTGAGTAATTCCATTTTTTGTTTAGTGAGTTGGTAATCTGAATAATTAATAAAGTTGCCAGTAGAATTAGAAATATGTATTTTGTCTTTATATAAATTATTCATTTTTTTAAATTTATTATTATTTTATGCTTGATATGTTCTTTCGTAGATATATCAGAAATATGATTTAGGATTTCCTGGTAGTTTTCGTAAGTGGGAGAAGATTTCAATTTGTTTCTTTTCTTTTCAGTTTATTTCTTTCCATTTGGAGATATTTAATCTTTCTATAAGAGGACGTCGACATTTTGCTGTGTTAGTGTCCTTATTGGCTGCAGACTCATATAATTTATTTAAATAAGGTATATTTCGGCAGCAAGAATTCTCTCAAACAAGTCTTGTAAATAATATGGGCAAGTTCTGTAAATCATTTTTTTTATTAAACCTTTCAAATTTCCGAATAAGTTGTTTTGTGTTATCGGTAAATATACCAAAATTCATATTAACTTTCATATTATATTTTTTCTGAGCACTTTCGAATGTTGCTACATTTGTTTTCAAGGATTATTTGTGTTGATTTACGCAACTGATTTTTAATTCTGGCGTTCTCACGTTTGATGGAATCAATTTCAAGTCATTCAAGGTGACATCATATAAACGGTCAAAATGAAATTTGTGTGTATTTTACATTAAACACGCTTCACTATACGGTTCCCTAGGGAGAAAGATATCCTATTCAAGGTCGATTGCTTCTCTTTTATTACAACAGTCTCCAGAATTTGGAATCATTCTTTGCACTGTGATCTGTATAAAATTTTGGTATTATTAACTTAAATTTGTCCAATGTTAATATTATTTTGTTTATTTGTCATATGTTCTTCTATATGTGCGTGAATTGCTCTAAATTTTGACAAATGACAAGTTAACCTACAAGTGAGTGTAGTGCATGTGTAGTCAATGTAAGAATTTAATGTTGTCTGTTGATTGTTAGTGTTGGAGATACAATCTCCCAAACGGCATAATAATTCTTAACAACATTATTTTTAAATAGGTTACATTTTGAGGTGATTAATTATTTCTAAGAATTAGATTAGGCGTTTTGAATTATTTTTAAATAATAGATGATAAATCTAAGGTGTTTGTTAGGATCTATAACTTTTATATATAGGCGGATTATGATTTTAATAGCCTCTTCATCTTGTTTATAATTAGGATGCATTTATTTAGAATAAAACAATTTAATGGAGTCTTTATTTTTGTTTATATCAAGTTGTTTGCTTATATTATTTTTTCTAAACTTCTTTAAAGCTAATCTTATTTCTTCATCAACAACATTTTTCTTTGGAAATTATTCTCGATAAGTGTTTGTTTTATGATGCTTAATTCTCTATAAAATGTGTCCGAAGAGGAAATCATTTTAGCACGATAATCATGTTTTTTATAACACCTATTTTATATATATGCCGGCATTCACTTTTATCATTAAGTAGACACGAATTTTTACTAGTGAATTAATAAAATCATCAATATTAGCATCTACTAGAACAGAAATGACCAAACCGTGGCTCGCGAGCCACATGCTGCTCTTTGACCTTTAATGTGCGGCTCGTGGAAATATGTTGGCTGAGCTCCGTTTTCTATCACAGTTAATAAAGAAGGTAAATAAAAAAAAAACTTTCAATTTTGTTCATGTCATGCGGCTCTGAAACATCTCAACTCGCATTAAATTAAATTCTTAGATTTAATAAGTTTGGCCACCGCTGTACTAGAACATCTAAGAATATATTTATATGAGAGAGATTAGCAATAATACGTATATTAATAATAATCGGTTGTAGTAATAAGACGAATGAAAAATACATCTAAATCACGCGTTTTATAGGCATCCCAATAACAGAGCTGTGAACACTATTATTAATTTTTAATTGTATTTCTTTCATACTATTCCTTGATCGCCATTGCACGGTCGTTAGTAAGTGAAAATTCAAATAGGTGTAACAGAGGTAAAATTGATTGCGATTTATCATATTCTTATTCTGGTGCTCGCGCGCGCGCGCACACACACACACACACACTCCAAAATTATATAAAGACGCATCTTAGTGGTTGAATTTAACAAAACTTGTTTAAATAAAATTTATGCTAAGTGTATATATCGCCAGAATTCAATATATGATCCCAGAATAGGCAACACTGAGGAAACATTCTGGCGTGCATTATATAAAACGAACACACACACGCACCCACACACATATATATATATATATATATATATATATATATATATATATATATATATATATATAAGGTTGAGTCTTTTCTATAAATACTTTCATCGAAATTGTTCGGATGAGCTCTTCGCTATGCTACCTAGACTTTTAAAAATTTAAGTGCAGTACTAGACTGGCAACAAGATCTCATCAGGTTACAGTTGAGTTGGACGTATGTAGCCGTAAGTTCTATGCTAACAATTTCTTCTATCACCCTTCTCGCTCGTGGAACCCCCTTCCGGCCCCATGCTTTCCAGCCAACTTTAATCTGTAAAAATTTAAATACAATGTCAATCGCTATCTACTGTCCTCCTGATAACTCTTTTTTCTTTCCGCTCATTATTAATGTTTCTTTTCCTAATTCTTCCACACCCTGTAACGCTCTGTGTTTTAGTGGCTTGCATGGGATGACAACGATTAATACACACACACACACACAAATCATTTATGGAAATGGTATGCTGTTTATCTTTCAAGCAATTTCAAACCACATATTTTTACTTGTTAATTTTTCTGATGTGTTTATATCGGTATTTATAATAAGTTTAGCTTCATCTGGCACAAGGCTACAGCAAGTGAGGGTCGAATTCACTATATCAGTGACTCGATTAACAATACACGTCATGCTAGCTATTCATGTTGTAAATAGGTGCTACTGGGTGTGTGTACGTATGCTAAATTGGAAGATGAGATGAATTGAAAACATTAATACACAAAATATTGATTGATTTACATGTATTACGTAAGTATAATTCATGTCAGTTTTTTATAAAGTTTTTTCTTAGCATCTGTATAAAATCAGAAAAGCCTGTTTCATTTAAAGAAATTTTGATTAAATGTCATTCGTTACTGAGGTATCAGTAGTCTGAAAGGATTTTATCCTGTTCGAAGGATCATTCTTTTCCTGATCTTCGTTCATGTTGTCTGTCTGAATATGCAAATTTTCAACTTCATCTTGCCGCTTCATGCCAACAATTTTTTCCTGTATCCATTTGAATTTTCTTTGCAGTATTATTCGAAATCTGTGTACAATGGTTACAAATGCTAAAAGTTTTACTGCTGAGTTGAGAATACCGAGTATATTGCTGGCACTAAGTAATTTTTCTTTCTTACTGTGGGATATATCAAACAACTCCAATACAATAACGGGCGCGTTACAAACGAAAAAAATTACTATTAACACCACTGTTAAAAGTGTAATGTCGACGCTTTCTTTTTCTTCCAAACTCATCTCGGTGTACAAATGACGTATGCGTTTCAGATTGAGGATCAGAAATATGTTGAACACAAAGAGGACACTCAAGGGAAGTATATAGAGAAAAACTGAATATAAAAATCTGCTGTATACTTCCAAATAGAGGTGGGAACTGCCGTAACTCGTCCGTAACAAAAAGTAGCCTTCTCTCGAATGACTCTTTATTGATTTGGTGGCAAAAACTCGCGGCAGATTATATAATATCGAAACTACAGTAATTGCCCAGATGATGATCAAGGCCTTACGACCTGTAAACAGTCTCTTTGATATAGAAGAATGGCAAACGTTTAGATATCTTTCAATGGATATACAAACCGTGCACCAGACGTTTATCATTTCTGAAACCATTAACAAGAAACTACAAGTTGTGAAAATTACCGGAAAAACGAAATACCTGAAGTCCTTTAACTGACCTGTATAATCGGATATACTTTCGGGTGTTAGAGAGATAAATGAGAAAATCAGGATGATGTTATCCGTGACGATGACAGCTCGAAGGTAGATCATTAGATTCGAACGTATATCTTTTTGACAGAGAACCATGATAGTTAGAATATTCCCTATCAAGCCGAACAGGACAATAATTGGTAAGATGATCCCAAAGCAGATGAAGTTATTGTCTGCATCATGCGACAGTTGATATATCTGATCGCTAGATTCGCTTGTTGTTAAATTAAATGAGGACTCAATTCCACCCATTTTATTTGTAATCACCTGAACGTTCCATTTTTAACAATGTTTTTATTTTATCTTTAATACTGCTTTGTTCGTATGCATTTTTGAATAAAAACCGTTTTCTTTTGTTAAACTACACAAATATACGTCACAGTATGTCATAGGTTCAGATGACATTTTCCGTTTGTGTTTGTTCTAGTTTTTCTATTTGCACGTTAACAAATTTTAAAATTATTTATGTCGATGTTACTCAAATAAAATACGTAATGTTTTTGAGAAATGTTTGAACAAATAAATTATTAAGAGAGGTTTTAGTAGAAACAACCCAGTTTAAGTCTGCTTAGCGTAAACTAGATAATATAAAATTAATGTGATTTTAATTAATTTTTTTAATGGCATTTTTATCTTTTTGACAGTGCAACAGAATTTATCTACTGTCAGAAAGAAATTGATTTAAGTAATGAAAATTAATATAAAAATACGTTGCTCTTTCTTTTGTAAAGAAACTATATAAAAAAATTCGGTAATTCAATGTTCCCTATTAATAACAAACGGATAATGATTATTTTCAGAAATTTCATTTTTTCCCGTTATTTTTGCTTTAGATCTGCAATTTTCAAAGGAAACCTAAAAAAAAAAAATCACAGAAAAAATATCAATATTCCAATTTGGGATAAATGTAGAAAATATATTCTCCGTGATATATATATATATATATATATATATATATTCGAACTGTTATCCTCATCTTTATTGTCATATTTACGATTTTTCGGTCGTTGTACACCCCGGGCTTCTTCAGGTGATATAAGTTGGAATTTTGAACCGGTCAATTCAATGAGAGGCCGTCTGGTCGCAGAAAAAGCGGGACACACCCTTGTCCGAGAAAAAGAAAAAATAGAAAAAAATCTGTTCGAAAGTCCAACGTATGTCATATGAATAAGGCCAGAGCATGCAGCGGCCGAAATGTCGTGGATATGGCAATAAAGATGATGACAACAATTCGAACAATGTAAATAGTTACAACATCACATCTCAGAAATTATATATATATATATATATATATATATATATATATATCACGGAGAACATACATACATAATATTTTTTAGATCAGTTGAAAGATTGACACGGTTAGGTTGCGGCTAAACCAATTTGCTTTTAAATAAACATTTAAAAAAATTATAGGAATTCCTTTTTTTATTTAAATAACTTGTGCTTAAATGGTTGTAAATACATTCATTTTTAATTGACTTTACCCGGTTTCTCAGGAAGTATTTTAAGATGTAGCGTAATTTACGAGCGAAAACGAAGTTACCTAATTCTAGAAGTTCAAAGTTAAATTTTAATTTATATACTTCTGTTTTTAAATTACTTCTCTGATATAATTCTAAAATAATAATAAGCAAATATATTCTTGGACACTCCGCTCATCAGGATCAGATCTGTCCCTCTGAGCATTATGAGCGAAACTTTGTAGTTGATCGAAAAATAAGTCATTTGAGCCATTATTAATTTGTTGACTATTGTCGGTGTAATATTCTGGTGAGCATTTCTTGAGAAAAAATTCTGATTTATTTGAAATACGTTAAATTCTAGTAATTTTTCCGTACGTTGATATATCTTATAATTATTCACTCAAGCAAAATACATACATTTACAAATATTTAAAATAATAAGTACAAACCATTCTTAAGAATAAATAAACGTAATAATGGCTATTGTTAAAAGATTATAATAATTAGTTTATTAACTTTGGTATCACACAATTTTGCAAGGGTCAGAATATGTTTGAAAGACGATCTAAAGTACAAATGTCTAGTCAGAAGATCGTTATCCAAAAAAGAAAAAAAAAATGTGTTTGTGTGGTGGGGGGCTTGAATCCATCATATTCATACTCCTTTTGAATCAGTCGTTAGTATGTATAGGTAATTGTGGTGGTAATACGGGATTAGTTCCTTATTAACGTCACTAAGAATATGAATACAACGGTTGCAGCTAATAACAATAGCAATGACATCAATAGAATTATTAAAACATTAATGAAAATGACAAAATTAACAAAAATGTTTAAAAACATGGACATTGTTACGATCATATTTAAATAGTTCTTTTCAACAATAACAAATACAAAACGATAAAATAATTATTAATATTTAAATTAATAATAATAATAATAAACAGAAACAAACAACAAAAACAAAACAAGGAAAAACTTCTCCGATCGATCCATTGATCGTCAGTTTGATTTCAGGGCTTAAAACTCAATAATACCACCGAATTTATTTTCTGTCAATTTCCAAAAATTATTTTGATATTTGATTAACTGATGCAAAAAATTTCCTGAAATATACTATTTACTTACCAAATCTATTTTTATTTGTATGTGCATGAAAATCCGTTTTTGAAATATGTACATGTATATAGATGTATATGCATTGTTTATCATATGCGATTTAAACATTTATGTTAATCTGTTATCGTATATGAATGTGAATACGCATAAGCATATACATCTCTGTATATGCTATATATGTCCTACTACTACAAACGTTATTTTGTGGATACCCATGTTTGAGCAGACACCCTGTTTGATTTTTTTAACAGTGTGAATGACGTCTACCGGCCTGCATATTCGAGATTTACTTTTAGTTTCTCCAGTGTAAAGGCCGGTTGACGTAGCAAGCTTTAAACACTGTTTAAAAACAACGAAAAAAGTAAAACCGCACATCTACTCAAACATGAATAGCCCCAAAATAACGTTTGGAGACACTGGAAGTAAGAAACACATTGATTCCTTCGATATATGCATATAAATATACTAGCAATTACATATTTATAAATAATCATTTACACAGAGATGTTTCAGAGAAATCTATGCTCATAGACAGACACACGTGTGTATGTGTGTGTATAAAAATCAACACTCCATAGTGAGTTTCAGTTTCATGAGGTGTGAAACTGACAATCACCATTTTGATTTCTAGTCTACACTGTGTAATACAAATGCTCTTTCTTCGATATTAAGCACTTTTCACACATAAATATAGTAAATTATTTTGAACAGCATCTCTCTTATATATAAGCACCTCCAAAGATTCACTAAAAAATGAGCATACATGATGAAAAATATGCCCCAAACTTAAAAACAAAATTTTATTCTCAAAATCTTTATATTATTTATTAAGAGGAAAGACCAAAGAATTTTTTATGTAAAATTACGTTTTTAAATCCTTTTTAGGACATTCGAAACTTTGGTTGAAAAAAATCTTGTTTTTGTGAATCAACATGGGACCATAAATTAATAAAGGAAATTTTAGAGTTTTTTTTTTGCTATGAAAACACAATGATTTGGAAATTCTTGCAAAAATAAGATAATTGTTAGATTTTAATTAAATATTCAGAGTTTATTCATGAATGAATGAAATTATTTTTGAAACGTTTCTTTAGGAAAGTTTTTTTTTACATTTGTTAACCCAACTTAAATCCTGGGAGAATCTAAATCATCAATTTTTTTTTTTGTAAAATAGGATCCCCAGTTACAGAAAACCTGCTCTGAATCGTAAAATGAAAAAATGCAATGAAACAAAGACATAATAAGAAAAGATTTTAATTTTTTTTATGAATAAAATATATTATGGACACTATTGTCTTAAGAAAATTTTTTTTTCGATGAATTCAGATTGTTGATAAATGTATCAAGACATTATAAAAACACGCAGCTCCGTGTTAAGTTATATTTATATTTATTTCAATTCAGATTAACTGAACTATAAATCGGCTATTTTTTCCCAAGTGACGTTTCAGAAAAGTATATTTGAAGGATTTTTAATAAAAAAGAATTATGTTGTATCGACAGATTTGTCAATATGGCCGATTTTTACTGATAATCAAAAAAAAACAAAAAAACAAAAAATATTCCAATCAATTTAAATTTGGTTTGAAATGCAGCAAAACATTTTGCATATTGGAAATAGAAATCTATTATCTTAGAATTAAAACTAAAATGAAAGCGGCAAGAATGACTTCATTTTTAAAATGCTTTTTGAACATTAGGTATTGTTTCTTTAGAGGTTCTTATATATATATATATATATATATATATATATATACACACATACATACATCACTTAAATATATGTTCAAGCATATGTATAGTTTTTCTACAGTGATATATATTAACAATGGATGGATAATTGTGGACTTATCTATATATATATATATATATATATATGAAAACAAAATGAAATGAAAGGGTCACTCCGACAAACATGTTTGTAGATAATCAATACTGGATTAACAAATAAGAAATGTATATGAGCTTTTTTTTTTATAAATATTTCAATTTGATAATTGTATGAATAAATGAGGAAAGATCCTTAATCTAAAATGGATTACTAAGCAGAACTGATGACTAATTTGTGTGGATGCGTGTATGTAGATCTGTTATAAAAGTTTATTTCATAAATATTTTAAAATGTCTGCTCTCACTAAATTTGTCAGTACATCTTATCCACATATACTTTAAAAATCAGTAACATCTTAGGGTGTTATTGTTCTGATGGGTTCTGTCTCGTTTTGGTGGTCATTCAAAGTAGTTAGTTCATGATGATCATTGATGATACTTGTCCGCGTTTCCATTTCTTCAGAGAGTTCCAGACGGCACGCTCCTAGTGTTTTAAGCAGCATTGGCCGGAATGTTCTCAGCAAAACCTTCCGAAACTTGCGCCCGACAGCTGTGTACACAAGAAAATTGACAGAAGAGTTGAGAACGAATAGGGTATTGCTGATAGCAAGCCATTTTAACAGCACTGTTTCCGACAGAAAGTTAA